TCCCTAAGAATCAAGCTAAAAGGGATCCATGAGCCACTGAAAGTGGCAAGGCCCAAGTTCTGAACTAGATTGATTGATGGGCTGTAAAGACAGATAAAAGATTTCCTGAGTCAGGCAGTGGTGGCGCCCGCCTTTAATCCCAGAGAGGCAGGAGGATCTCTGCGAGTTCAAGGCCAGCCTGATCAACAAAGCAAGTTTCAGGACAACCAGAGCTACAAAGAGAAATCCTGTTTCAACGACAGAGAGGGTAGGAGAGAGGAGGGGAGGGTGGGGGAAGAGAGGAAGAGAGAGAGAGAGAGAGAGAGGGAGAGAGAGAGAGAGAGAGAGAGAGAGAGAGAGAGAACATTTCCAGGGGTTAGAGAGATGGCTCAGAGGTTAAGAGCACTGGCTGCTCTTCCAGAGGACCTGAGTTCAATTCCCAGCAACCACATGGTGGCTCACAACCATCTGTAATGAGATCTGGTGCCCTCTTCTGGCATAAAGGCAGAACTATATATATAGTAAATAAATCTTTAAAAAAAAAAAAAAGAACATTCCCAGAGTGACTAATAGGATTGTAACAGACTCCACACAGTGTAACAGTCCAGCTGTCGAATTTACAACCTCAAATAACAGTCCCACCGAGGACTGTGGCATGTCAATCATGACAGGACAATGCAAATATTAAGGTTCCAGTTTACATGTGGTTATTGCCATCTCTAGTGTGACTATTAAGGTAACAACACACCTGCCACGCCAGTAGCTTCAGTTGCTAAGGTCAGAGGATCTCATGTTCAAGATCAAGTGGGTTACACTGGATTCAAGGCCAGCCTGAGCAACAGAGTGAGACCTTGTTTCAAAAGAAAAAAAGATGGGGGTGTATCTTCATGGATGAGCACTTAGGAGAGATCTTGGGGTCAGTTTCTAAAACACAAAGTAACAATACTTGTCATGAACACAGAGGGGCACTGCCAGAAAACCAACATGTTCAGTAAAATGTATTATGATAAGATCTCAAACACAACAGAAGGCAGAAGGCCAGAGAGACAGAAAGAGCAGGGCGGGGTGGGGACTGTGAATTATAGACCACAATCCCTGTTAATGGGCTTTTATTTTTATTTGAGTGTATGCCACTTATGTTGGGTGGGGGGTGGGGGGTGGGGAGTGGGGGGGCAGCACAGTCAGAAGAGGACATAGCATCCTGTAGAGCTGGAGTTACTTGCAGGTGGTTGTGAGCATCTCGAGTCCTCTGGAAGAACAGCAAGTACTTTTACCTTACAAGCAATCTCTCTGACCCCAGGAACTTAAATGTGTGAGGACTGACATGTGTGTGCACCGTGTGAGAATGTGTACATGTGCCGTGTGAAAGACCTCACCGTGTGGAGGAATGTGGGAGAATTTGGACTTCTAAGCAGGTCTTAATAGGCCATGCTGGTAAGATTGAGAAAGACAGTTCTAAGAGCAGTGCAGGCTGTGGAGGCCCAGCTCCAGACACTTAGAGAGAAGGATGGATTTTTTTTATTGTTGTTGGTTTTTTGAGACAGGGTTTCACTGTGTAGTTCTGGCTGTCCTGGAACTCACACTTGTAGACCAGGTTGGCCTTGAACACACAGAGATCTGCCTGCCTCTGCCTCAAGAGAGCTGGGGTTAAAGGCGTGCGCCACCACCCAGATGGATTTTTTTTTCTTTTGAGAGAGGATCTCTCTGTGTAGGCCTGGCTGTCTAGGGGCTCTCCATATAGACCAGGCTGTCTGGTCTATATGGAGAGATCTACCTGCCTCTGCTTCCAGTGTGTTTGTGTGCCACTACACCTATATGGAAGCAAAGATTTTAACAGCAACGGGGCTAGAAACCAATCTTGTGATATTTTGGTAAAGAATGTGGCTGCTCTCTGCCCCTGTCCTAAGATTTTGCCAGAGGCGAAATTTCAAGTGATGGACTAATTTCTTTGGTGGAGAAGATGTCCAAACAGCCTAATATTGATGGCCACACGGTTATTAGTAATCACTCTTCGGCAGGTCTACCATGAAAAAGGGGAAGTGTCGTAAAAATAAACTGGAGACGTAAAGAAGGGGCACCAGGAAATCTAATGCTGGGGCCAAGGCTTGTGCTGACAGAGGTAAAGGAGAGCCGAACCCAGGGCTAGACACCACATAGCTAGATTCCAGCTTGAGAAAGGAAGAGGCTTTAGGAATAAACAAAAGCTGCTATAAGTGTGATTTAATGGGGCCAGAGTCCATCCCAAGCAGGCCGTCAACTTGGCAGTGTCATCCATGTGGGTTCTGGCGTCATGAAGAATATATGTAAAGCAACTGTGGGATCTCCCTCCAAGGTTAAGCCACTGAGGCCAGTCGATATGTGGCCAGGCGATTCCCACAAGGCCATGCGAGGCCGTTGTATGAAGCAATAAAATTAAGGCCTGAGTTGTTTTAGACCCCATGTCAGAGGTGTAAAAGAGGCAGGATACCTGCCAAGAACTGCAGATGGGATGGAGCCAGCTTCAAAGATGTATCTTGCAGTCAGTAAAACTGGAAGGGTTAGGGCCATCCAAGTCTTTGACATCAGATGGAGTAACAGGATTTGAAGTTTACCCTGCTGGGTTTCAGTCTTGCTTTGGTTCGGTATTTCATCACTGTTCCCCCTTTCCTGCCTTTTGGGATGGCCATTATGTGTTGGGAGTGTGCAGTCTGCCTTGTGAGTTTACAGGGGTTACAGTAAGAGATTGGCTTGGATTACAGAAGAGACTTTGGACCTTTAAAAGAGTTGAAACTGGGAGAGTATGGGGACTTTCTGAGTTGGACTAAATGCATTGTGTTGGGGCCACAAGCCTATGGGGGCCAGGAAGGGGAATGTGGCACTTTGAATGAGAATGGCCCCCATGGGACCATGCCATTGAATACTTGGATCCCAGTTGGTAGAACTGTTTGGGAAGGATAAGGAGGTGTGGCCTTATAGGAGGAGGTGTGTCACTGGGGGTGGGCTTTGAATTTCCATTTCCAGTGTGTCCTCCTCTGGTATAAGATGTGAGCTCTCAAAGGGGGCAGTGGTGGCACACTCCTTTAGTCTCAGCACTCGGGAGGCAGAGGCAGGCGGATCTCTGTGAGTTTGAGACCAGCCTGGTCTACAAGAGCTAGTTCGAGGACAGTCTCCTAAGCCACAGAGAAACCCTGTCTCAAAAACAAAAAAAAAGAGAGAGGTGAGCTCTCAGATGTTCCTGCCACCAGGCTGTCACTCTACCATCATGAACTCTAGCCTTCTAAAACCCTAACCCAATCATCATCATCATCATCATCATCAGAGACAGCCTCACTGTGCAGCACTGGTGCTCTGTAACTCACTATGGAGACTCAAAGAGACGGACTGCTCTGCTCCCGAGTGCTGAGATTGAAGGTGCGCGCCACCATAGCACAAAAGCTTTTTTTTTTTCTTCCTTTTTGGGTTTTTTGAGACAGGGTTTCTCTGTGTGGCACCTTGGCTGTCCTGGAACTCAACTCTGTAGACCAGGCTGGCCTTGAACTCAGAGATCCGCCTGTGTCCGCCTCCTGGGTACTGGGATTGAAGGTGTGTGCCACCACCGCCCAACTAGTATCACTTTCCTCTTGGACAGGAACATGAACCCCGGACTCTCAGATTAAGTCTGATGCTCCTTTGAGCTCTCCAGGCTCTTCCCTTTTTTTTTTTTTTAGTTGCCTCTCTCATGGTATTTTATCACAGCAACAGAAATAAGGAACTACAGTTACTAAGACACCCTGTCTCAAAAAAAAAAAAAAAAAAAAAAAAAAAAAAAAAACTTCAGCACAGGAAACGGACTTCCACTTCCACACCACATGGAGTCATTTAAGGCAAAATCAAAGCTCCAAGAACCAGCCAAGCAGACACTAATCTCTAACAGTCTTCTCCACCAAGGCACCATGGAGTGGCGGAAGCAGCAGAGATGGCGGCGTCAGTCCAGAGGGTGGACAGCAGAGAGCAGAGCTGACCATCTGCAGCTGGCGCTTGCCAAGTTTTGTCACACTGGGTTTAATGACAAGCCTAAGGTTTGAAGGACAGTGACAAGAGTGGGGACTGGGCTGAGCATGGTGACGGACACACTCCTTTATTCCAAGCACCAGGGAGACAAAGGCAAGCAGAGCCCTGTGGTTTGGGGGATAGCCTGGACTACACGGAGATCCTGTCTCAGAAACAAAAGCAAACAAGAGTGGAGACTGGAGGGCTAGCCTCTGCTTCAAGACTGACAAGCTTCCAGGGGTGGGAGGCAGTCAAGAGCTCACACCAACTGTGGCAGACGGTAGAGCAGACGGCCCTGGTTCTCAGTGCTCGGGAGAAACAGTCAGGGTCTCACAGCTGGAAGCCCTGGAGGGTGGGTCATGGGAGCAGAAGTCAACCAGGGGCAGCTATGGCAAAGCCAGCCTCCCCGCCAGTCAGCTTAGTGCTTTTGGATTGGAGTGAGGTAACCAGTAGCTTCCTGCAGGGGCAAGCTGAGACCACCACCACCACCACCGGATGAATCCTCTGGGAGTGTGGTGTGTCTGTCTCTGAACTCAGTAGTGGCAGGAAAAAGAAGAGCTAGTGTTGTGTACAAGCAAGCATGGCTAGGCTCTAACTCAACTTTATTTACAGGGCCTGGGGAAGTGGCTCAGCTGGTGGAGTGCCTGCCGAGCCCACAAAAAGAGCTCTGTCAGTCCCATATGAACCTGGTGCCCTGGCACACTGCTGTAATCCCAGTGTTTGAGAGGCAAAAGTGGGAGGATCGCGAGTTCAAGGTCATCCTTGACTACATAATGACTGTGAGGCCAGCCTGGACAACATGCATCCCTGCCTCAAAAACAGACGGGCTGGAGAGATGGCTCCACAGTTAAGAGCATGTGCTGCTCTTGTAGAGGACCCAGGTCTGGTTCCCAGGACCCGATGTGTCTAAAAGACCTGATGCCATTTTCTGGCCTCATGTGGTACACACACATACAGGTAAGCAAAAAGCTCGCACACACACATAAAATCTTTAAAAAATACACTTTAAAAAAAACACCACAAACAAACACAACTTTATTTGAAAAGACCTGTAGTGGCCCACAAGCTGCAGTGTAGGGGCCCCGGCCTGGTGACATGGAAGTCCATCCCATGACAATCCGGCCCTGGGAATGTGCCCATTCACTACTGATGCTATGTGCACCCAGCAGGCACCGGCTTTGAGGGAACAGCGGAAAGTGGATGTGGTGGTAATAGAGATTTTCAGCTGAGACCAGATGCTGAACCGCAAACTTAAGGCTGCATGCTCTAAGTTCTGCCGTGGCAAGTCACGCAAGCCCACAGCCGGTGACTCAGACCCCTGTCACCTAAGAGTAAAGCTGCTGCTGTGGCTCAGTGTGGCCAGAGGCCCTGGGGCCTCACTGGTCCTGGAGCTGGGAGGGAAGGTGGAAACTCCTTTGGCCTGGCTGGAGCCGACCACAGGCGTTCCCTTCCCCCCAAGCACTTGCCTGGGGCTCAAAGCTGGGAGGAGGTGATGGCTTCTCGGGAATGGAGGCTTGAGTCACAGCCCTGAAGAGGCCACTGCAGCTTTGCAGGAAAAGACTTCTCTGCAAGGACACCAGCTCAGCACCCTGCTGCTCAGCCTGAGTGGCATCACCCTTGCTCACTTTCATGATAACTGTTTAAAAATAGTTTATATTGTCCTCATTCTAGCTCAAGAGCTCAGGGACTCTGACAAGATGAAGAGTGGAGATGGGTTGGGCTTGGTGGTACATACCTTTAATTCCAGCACTGGGAGGCCGGTGTATCTCTGAGTTCAAGACCAGCCTGGTCTACACAGTGACTTCCAGGTCAGCCAGAACCACATGGAGACTCAGTCTCAAACAAACACACAACTTTCCACTAGGCCAGTGAGAAAGTTAAGTGGCGGAGGCACTTGCTGTCAGGCCTAAGGCCTTGAATTCAACCCTCAGGACTCAATGGCAGGAAAGAATCAGGTGAATCAGTTCAGGCAAGTTGTTCTCTGACTTGTGGGAGTCAACAGGGTCCCCTGGAGGCCAGCCAGGCTGGGGTCTCTTGCTTACGGAGACAATTAGGTCGGGGGCTGGCAATGGCTATGGTGTGTGTGGGGGGCTGCTCTGCTCTCACTGGGACTAGTTGCTGCGGCTCTTTTTCTGGGTCTCTCCCTGACACTCTTTAATAAGCCCACTCCTGCTGAAGCCGCCATGGCTCCGGTCTGCCAGGTGCAGCAGGCACAGCCTACGGGGAAGAAGCTGTAATTCTTGTGAGTCGGGGGAACTCACCCGGCCCAGCACCCTGTGAGTAAGACACAGCTCCTCCACCCCAGTCCCCCGGATGACCTGGTCCCTGGAGGCTGCCTCTCGGCCCTGTCCCTGCTAACCTGGGCTCTCACAAGTGTCTGTAAGAGTGGGTGGGGGCTCCCACCCAACTCCAATGTCTATCTCACTGTGCATCTGTCAGGCTTCATCAAGAGCTGGGGCTCTGAGCTGAGGCCAGTTACAGCCGGTTGTCCCGAGGCACCTGCCAGCTCCCTCCCACTGGAGCGCTGGAGTGAAGGCTGTGGTTCCTTCTTAAAAAGAGAAGACTCAAGAAAGAAAAAAAGGTAAACAAACAAAAATACCACAAGAGAGAGAGAGAGAGAAGACTCCTGTCCAGTCCCACGTGGTCATCCCGGACACACGTACATAGACTCAGAGTGAAATGGACTCAGTGGATTATTTGTATGTGTGTGCATATATGCATACACACACATTAAATATACATGCAACAATAATAAAGAAGAGATCACGGGTGTGGGAGGGGTATGGGTGGAGCTGGGGGGTCCCAGCGCAGTAGGGGTCATGTAGATGCATGTTCACGTATGAGGTTCTCAGTGGGATAAAATCAACAAAGGAGACCCGGGGAAGAAGAGGCTGACAGGCCCCTCATTGGCCACCAGGGAAGTGGTCAAGAAACAATGGCCCCACTCATGCTCACCAGGGTGGCTATGGTCTAAAAACAGGGGGACGTGTGTTGCTGAGGATAAGAGGGGCCTGGCAGCCTCATGGATCCCCGGACAGAGTTAAATTAAGTACAGTTAGCACAGCCATCAGTTCTGGGAGAGGACGTGGCTCACCTGGGAAGGCGCCTGTCTGTGCTGCTCGGGGCCACCTTCAGTCCCAGCTCCCCTACTCCTAGCGCGTGGGAGGTGGCGTCAGGAGGACTGGGACATTCAACTGGAGCTCCATGAGTCCCTATCTCAAAAACAAAGGGACAGACAACCAGCCAAAACCCAAACCAGAAAAAACAAAATATCCAAGGGAAAAGAATGAAGCGATTTTGAACTTGGCAGACGGATGGTAGTGGGTACAGGTTATACATGCACACTGCCTGTCATTCAAATGAGCAGAATTGAACACCTTAAGAGGTTTTTTTTTTTTTTTTAGTTTTAGGCGATTTTACCTCTCTATTTTAAGATGTCACTGGGTCCCTAGAAAACAGCACAAACACTATTTCCCAGAAGCACCAATTTATAGGTGCACAAGCTGCCCTCATGTCCATCGAAGGCTCCAGGAGAGCCCACTGCAGCAGCAGCAGCTGTCAGCTTCTTCTTTCTTCCTCAGCCTGAAGGGAGAGTAAGTCTTCCCTTAGGAGACAGAGAAAGCCAAGAGTCTGTGACTGCCTGGGTCACTCACCTCCTAGGTGTAGCCAAACCCTGTGAGCTGGTAGCCTCCTCTGGTGCCCACCCTTGCCTTCAACTTCTGCCAGTGTGCTCACCTGCTCCTTTCTTTGACTTTCCACCAGGGGGCAGTGAAGAGAGCCCTCTGCATGGGGGCCCAAAAGCTTCAGTCTTTCCTAAAACCCCAAGGGTTGAGATCCTAGGTAAGAGCAGCCAAGTTGGATGCCCAGGAGTTACTCACAGGCTCTACTGCATCTGCTCCAATGTCAACAGTGTGGACACAGTGCTCTCTCTCTCTGTGTCTCTCTCTCTCTCTCTCTCTCTCTCTCTCTCCCTCTCTCTCTCTCTCTCTCTCTCTCACACACACACACACACACACACACACACACACACACACATACATCTAAGGAAACTGCCACGTACCACAGTTCAACTTCAGGCTTCTGGAGCCCTGAGCCTGCGTCCTGCCTAAGCCTTTGGAATCCAGAATGTGGGGTTTTCTCCTTGGAAAGTAAGAGCCCAGGCAGGTGAACACCACCGAGCCCACCAACACCAGCTCCGAGGCTCAGAAGGCCAACTCCTCAAGCTATGCAGAGGATTTTGTTGGTTCCTGCAGGAAAAACCCCCTCAGATTAGGGTGAGAGTTAGCAGATCCCGTGGCGCTTTGGCAGCTTCCATGTTTCTGCCAGCAGTGGCTGCAGAGTGACGTGTGGAAAGGTGGCACAGCTGAGCTTTGGTTGGACAGTGGGTGAAATGTCACACACATCCTTTTAGAGCCATGGTTTCCTGGCAGGGACAGAGTATTCCTTTCATACAGACAGGGGATACCTAGTTTTTTACAGTCCTCTACAAAGGTCTGTCTCCCAACCCTGAGAGAAGAAGACCTGCTAGAGAAATGGCGTTCCCAAGCCTGATCTCCACTAGTTTTTCTCAGTCATCTTCCTCTCTGACTGGACATGCCGGGGAACACAACCCCAGCCCTTCACACTGTCCGTGTTAGACAGGCCCTGGCAGGGCTTGCAGATGGCTCTGGGTGGGAGCGGCATGCTTCCCTCTCTAGGCCTGCTGGAGAAGAGGCAGAGGTGGGTAGGGAACTTGGCCAGTATCTCACATGCCCCCCCACTCCCACCCCCGCCGCTGCCCTAGGCACACTCCTTCCTCCTGGAGCTGGTTCTGCCTCAGCCTCTGACCAGTTCCCTCAAGATGGTTCCTTTTTCACCAGAGCCCCTCTAGCATATTCCAGGGTAGCTGTGGGAGGGCCGATGGGTCGTTGCCTTTCCTGCAATGGGTGCAGCCCTTGTGTGTCTCTAACGTGTTCCCCGTGCCAGGGTTTAGTCTTCTAGGTCCCAGAGTCAGGGGCAGAGTTCCACTGTGTGTCATGACACTGGGTAGATAGGACATGGGCACTGCCTGCCTGAGAGCAGCCCAGTGTGTGTCAACACACCCGAAAGCTGGACAGGCATCCTTTACAGAGCCCTAACCATGAAGAGCCTATAGGTGGTTTTCCTGGGTAAGGGGCACTCTGAGAGCCCAAGGGACAAAGCGGGGGGCGGGGGATTGGCACTGGGGTCCTGGATACCTGGGCCACACCAGGCCTGGTTGCAGGGCTGTGGGTAAGATAAGTCAGTACTATCCCAGCCAGCCCCTCCTGCAGCAGCACCAGGCAGCAGGCGAGCCTCTGGCCTCTGATCAGACACTCCACATGGCTTCCCCTGTTTACACGGAAACACCAAGCATATTCAAGGGATCTCCTGAGCTCTCTGCTATGAGGGGCCCTGGCCAGTTGTTCATCAGGCTTCCCTATACTTTGTGTCCTGTGTGTGTGTATTGGGGGGGTGGGGTGGGTGAGATCTGCTGCAAGAAAATTTCAGATTTCAGAGTTGAAGACAAGATTTCAAAATCTGGCTTTAAATAAACACAGAATTAAAAAAAGAGAGAGCGCACACGGAGCCTCCAGCAGCCGAAATTAGCAGCAGCCAGCCAGCCCTGGGCAGGGAAGCCATCTGTGAGCGAGCATGGGAAGCAGCGTGTACGTGTCTGGGCTTCTTGCTCTGGCAGCACCAGCTGGGGACGGCGGTGCGGTGGGAAAGGACCTGGAGGAACACCGCACGGCTCGGGTTGGGTGTCTTTTGACTTCAGGGTCTGGAAAACAATTTCCTCTGCCACAACCTGAAAACACCTTTAGACCTGTTCAAGGCAACTTAATTTAAGAGGCAGAGCAGGCTGGGTGGTGGTGAAACACGCCTTTAATCCCAGCACTCGGGAGGCAGAGGCAGGAGGATCTCTGTGATCCGCCAGCCTGGTCTAGAGTGAGTTCCAGGACAGCCTCCAAAGCCACACAGAGAAACCCTGTCTCAAAAAAAAAAAAAAAAAAAAAATTAAGAGGCAAAACAATAAGAAGAAAAAGGATGTTTTATTTGGGGTAAGCAAATCAGAACAATAAGCAGGAAGCAAAGTTTGTCTTTCATCTTTTCCCAGGGAAGCTAAGGGACCACTCTGGCCTACGAAGGACACTTGGTGGAGCAGGAGGGCACAGCCAGGTCTGCCTGTGCTAGGCTTCTGCTGCTAGAGCTGTCTTTACAGCCCCACCACAGGCTGGGTGTGCACAGAAAGAATGGGTGTGCCTGACATAGGGTGGGTTTCCCATGTTGACGAGGACACCTGTATCCCAGCACTCTTAAGTTTGGTCTTGTGTATGCTTGGTCTGCAGACTGCACTCATCACCAACCTTGGACCATAGTCCTCTGAGCTCACTTGGCCAGCTGCAGAAGGGTTCAGTGCAGAGGGCTCCACTGCAGCCTGACACCTGCTCAAGTTATTTAAGTCTGCATTGTCAGTTAATGTATTCTAATAGGCAAGTGGGTGACCGAGCTGGCAGACACAGGATGGTGCTGAAATGTAGCAAGAGGAGAAGCACCCAAGGAAACTTCGAGGCTTGTTTGCGCCCCTGCACTCACCCCCGCGCTACCTCCCACAGGCACCTGGAGTCATGCCGCTGTGATGTGCAGATTACATAAGGGGATGGTTGCTGGGGAGGCTTCCCCTCTGCCGGGGCGACAGGGCAGGATGCGGGCACAAAGGCTCTGTCTTCCTGGGCCTGCCTGTAGGGGAGGCTCTGTAGGAGGCCACAGTGCCAATGGGATTTTTAAGGCCGTGTGTCGAAGAGGACAGAGGACAGTGTCGGGTGACACTCTGGAAAACCACAAGACCATGTTCACACCTCCATCCGTCAGGCAAGTGCCCTTCCTGGTCCCTTCTTTCCAGCCATACCGTATGTTTAAGAGGAAACAGAAGACACAAGAGATGGCCAGGTGCCCTGGGCTAATCTGCTTCCTACAGCAGGAAGCAGGACCCACATGGCGGCTGAGGAGCCAGTTACACGTAAAGCTGAGGTGCAGCCTGGGAGGAAGCAGGGAAGCACCCACCTCTGGTATAGCAAGAGAGCTGAACTGCTCTGCTCTTTAGACCTCAGCTTGCACAGGCAAGGCAGACATGGCAGCTCCCAGCACCCTCTGACCTGTAGCCCGGGGCCCGGCAAGGTCCTTCGCTCTACATTTCCTCATTCAGAGCAAAGACACTCCACGTCCTCTTCTTTGGAGTGGTACCAGGGAACAGGCCCAGGGCCTCAGACATCCGAAGACTGCCCCTGAGCCCACCCAGCTACCATTGTTAGCTTGCTGCCTTAGTGTGATGGACTGACTACCATTCTAGTGCTGGTGCCGACATATCATTAACTAAAGTCCACAGTTCATCCAGAGTTCTCCACATTCTACCTAGTGTCCTCCTCTTCCTGCCCAGGACCCAGCAGCAGGGTGTCAGGGGACCTTCAGTCTTCCTGTCTCCTCAGGCATCCCTGGGCTGCGGTCTCTCCACCTTCAGTCATGATGGGGACATGGCAGCACACTGGACACTGGTCAGGAGTCAACTGTGCTGTCCCTGCTGGGCTGGGAAGGAAGACTGAGAAGGAAGAGCGCTCTGTTCAGGACAGTGCCAGCCTCTAAAGTGTGGTGATTCCTCCACATGGCTCTGCATGACTCCTCCCAATACTGCTCAGCACCCTAACCTCTGCTTTGGGGGCTCAAGGAGGTCAGGGAGCCTGCCCAGAACCACATAATGTCTGCTCTGCCTCTGCCTGCAAGCTGACCAGTGACTAGGACGGGTTCCTTAAACCAGGGCCTTCTTCTCACACTACACCCTGAGCCTGCCAAGGTCAGGTCTCAACCTATCCCCCCTCTACTGTGACAGGCTATGCCTTGAAGGCCAGAGGAAACCCAAGTGGCTGACAGCAGCTGAAAGAGCCTTCCTGCTGGTAGGAGTGAGACTTCTACCTGGACCTCCCAGCACATTCTTGCTGATAAGGTTTTAGCCACCAAGCTGGCCAGCCATTCAAACTGTCCTGAAACCAGAGCAGTGTGCCCGACATACAAGAATGCCCTTCTGCCCTCGGGTCTGGCCCAGACATCTGCCAAGCAGGGAGGAAGCAGCTAACATGGACGACCAGGGTGTGGAGGGAAAAACGGAAGGCTTTTCCTGAAGCCCCAGAAGCCCAGGCTCTGGAGCTTTTCTGTCTCTCCTATTAGAAGAGTTACCTATTACAAAAGCTTCAGTTGGGGGATGAAAACAGAAGAGTTCTGATTGGGAGATCCTTTCCTTAGAGAGAAGAAAAGTTGCCAGGTAGGGGTGGGGTGGGGGTGGAGAGCGCTCCCTTAACAGGCACAGGTCTCCCACCATCTCTGGAGACCTTAGGCAAATGGCAGAGGATGGAGGTGAAGGTGGGCTGACAGTCTGCTGGGGGCCACTTCCCCAAGGGCAGCTTCTGCTGAGTAGACTCCCGATCCGTGTGCCTGCCTTGCCAGGAGAACAGCTTGCTTGAAATGCAAAGGCTGTCATTCTGTAATTAAATCTGAGACCCCCCCCTTCCTCCATGACGCCGGGATGAAGCCACTTATATAACGCAACTAAAAATAAGCTTGTGGAGACATACACACTGGCGCTCCCCACCCCCAGCCCATCTCTGGGGTTGCCCACCCTGAACTGGTGACCTGCAGCACTGCCTATCGGAGTTTAGCCCTGGGCTCAGCATTACGCACGCAAACGTAAGGCTGGTGCTCAGGGGAGTGGACACATGGATGACGGCTGGGGGCTTCAGATCTCTACCCAGGGCAGATTGACAGTGCCAAGAGAGGGAAAGCCAGTGGCTTATGGTGGACAATGGTCTGTCAGTGTTAGTCTCTCAGTGAGTCTCCCAGAGCTGCTTCCCAGAGCTGCTTTCATCCACCCCAAAGCTGGGACAAGAAGAGCTTCTCACTATTCTTCCTGGGAAGATGTGCAAAGAGCCAATGACAATGGTTCCACCTTGACCATGGTTACCTCCACCCCTGATGGACAAAGCCACGTGGGTGCAAGCCCACACACAGGCCATAATTCCAAGTAGCACTACCAGGCTGCTAAACCTTTAGGAAGGTAAACAGATTCCTCAGCCACCAGTGTAATGGGGAAAGCTATAAGATGAGTCTTGTAATGGGCTTTGGATGAAGAGGAGTCAGGGAAAGAGTGGCCTACCCACTCAGCAACTTGAACTCTGACCCATGGTGCCCCTACCATTAAAGGAGCTGCTGTCTGGGACAGAAAGGCTTCGGGGAACACCACTGAAGCCTGGGCTCAGGCTAAATCGCCTGGAAGAGAGCTGAAGGGAACATGTCCTTGTCGGCTGGATGTAAAGACAGGTCCTGACTGTCTGTCTCCTGTCCATGCCAGGTGTTGGTCACAGTGCACTAAGCTGCAGGCAGGGTGCAGGCTCACTTCTACTGAAGTGTCCTGACAGCCCTCTTCCACTGTGGGCTTCGGTTGCAGTTGTCGGGCCTCCTGCCAATGGACAGGCCTGAGGCTTCTGGGAAGCCAGCTGGTTTGAGTCTGTCACCCATGTGAGTGTGCTCCTTGGACAGAAACAGGGTGACTGTGGGTTGTTGCAGAAGGGGGAGTGGCCCTGACCAGGGAACTTTTCTGGAGGAACCCCTTCTGGCTCTCCCAGAGAGACCTCCCGTTTTTGCTGCCAACCTCCCCCTCTCATTCTCCTCTGGGTCCCCGATCGATCTCGGGGGACAAGCACGGAGGGGCTGCCTCTACCCTTGTGCACCAGCTCCCTGTGGGCCTTCAGGTCAGTGAGGGATCAATGTGTGGCAGTCGGGTTGAGCAAGCCCTATACCATGCTGTTCTAGATAACAGGAATAGGGAGGGAGGGAGGGAGGGAGAGAGAGGAGCAACTGTGACCAACCAGTTGCCTGAGTCAACAAAGGCCCCTATTTGACAGCCAATTTAAGCTGGCTTTCTGTCTCTTGCAACCAAAAGAACCCAAGGAAACATACACAGGGATGTACAGGCTGAAAGCACAGGAAAACAAATCTCTGTCCCGTGCTTTCTAAATCCCGCCCTTTGCCTCTTACACTTGTAGCAAAGCCAACAGGCACCCGTCTGAGTCCTGACAGCGGCGCCATGGATCTAGTCCTCTGGGCTGTGGACGGAGTGGAGTGACCAGCTGTCCAGGAAATGGATGCTGGAGTGTTACGTTTAATTAAAAGGAAACATTCAGCTGTGGTGTTTTACAATGTAAAGCAAATAATTCCTCTGGGTTCGTCTAGTTTGTGCAAATATTTCTCCAAAGGGACTGTGCTGGAACCCCGTGTGCCAACCTGGTCCACAGCCAAACCTTACCCAGTACCTTCCTTATTAAACCACCAGCCGCCGGGCAGCTCCAAGCTGTGCTGGGCGGCTCCTCCCCGGAGCTTTCCACCCCCAGCCCCTGCCATACCGCCCCTTAGGTTCTCTCCCCGCCGCACGCGCCCCTCTGCCGGGTCCGCCCACCTCAGGGACCCGCCCCAGGGCCCACCCTGCCCGGATCCTGCCTTCCAGGGTTCGGGTCCTCCCTCCACTTCAGCACCCTCCTCCGCCTCCACCCACTCCCGCCCCGGGAGTCCTCCCTTCCGGAAGACCGTCCGGGGTGGACGCCGCCTCGCCGACTCACCTGCTATAATAGCGCGGGAGCCACCGGGC